ATAAATAACAGCTATTCACACGAAAAAAAAAAAACCCTCCTCTTTCACCTCAGTTATATTTTATTCCACTTGTAAAATTCAACTCTGCGATTTTGGAAAAAAAACTAGAAATGTTTTACCGCTTCTTGCGTTCATGCTGTTGACTGGAAGAATCAGAGCTGCTTTAGTCTGGATCATTAATCCCATTAAAAATGTAGTCAACACTGTTTGTCCTTCACTTTTGTGAAAAGGAAAATATATTCTGTATGTTGACAGCATGTTGAAAAGCTTGCAGACAAAAGGCACTGTCAAGGTTAGCGATGACATGCACACCCAGAAAAGAAACACATGCTGTTACTCTTCAATTTGTATTTATTTAGTTAAAATACATATGAAACAGATACACTAAATAATATTCCAAATGTTACAAAAAGTTATCACAAACTGTACACATCAGGACGGTTCTTGCAGTTGTTCTTGTTCAATATAGATTCAACCAATATACAAACGATTACAGCTCAAAGCTCTAAACTCCTACACATGGAATAGCTTAACAAGTTAGAGTTGGCGTCACTGGGGTCTCCAGTTTGACTAATTGTTCACAACTATTACAGAACATGTTTAAATTTCACTCGAGTACAAGGCTGAGCTCTTCAAATCATCACCAAACAATAGAAATACATTTTTGATGTCTCTATTTCCATGAGTATACGACAGATTCTTAAATGTCACTTTTCAATATATACAAACACTTTCATTGACAGTATATACAAAGGTAAACACAAAGATCAAAATTTTATAATTATTATTATTTTTTTACAATATCTTTCTATGTATATATTTTTAAGCATAGGGAGACATGCTACCAGTAAAAATATTTCATTTTCATATTTTGGGCAGCGCAGGGGAAAAAGCTTGTTAATGTGCAAGTTAGATAACAGTAGATAGCCATTTTCTATTAGCTATAATGTTTTTTATTAGTTTCTTATTACTCGTGAAAGATGAAGCTGAGTCCATGTTGTGTTTTAGATGGATTCAAATCAATTTCATATGACGTCAAATGTACACAACATTTCCTAATATGTAATGTCTTTTATGGATTATAAGTCCCTGAATTTGTAAAGAGTGAGGAGAAGTTGTTGTTCACTAAAGTTTGGCTACATTAAGGCCTGTGTCCACACATTTTCCATACAAAAGCAATGCAGATCATCGTTTTCAGCGCTCAGCCTCCTGAACGCTAAAATACAGCGTTAGCGTTTTTTTTGTCGCTAGGCTCACAGCACTCTCAGTTGAAAACACTTCAACTTTTGAGACTGCTCCGAGGTCGTCAATATCACTTTTCCCTCCATGACAAATCAAAATGAAGAGGGGGTGGGACTTCTGATATCTGTGCTCGTCTTTTTGAGGATACAATTTACAGGTCTAGAGTTGCCGCTTGTGCCAGGACACCATTCCTTTACATTTTTTGCATGTTTTCTTGTTGATATATATTGTTAAATAAAAGCAAATATTAAGCACACAGAGCTATCTAAACACACCTAACGGTTATTACCGGGAGATGTGGAAGTTCACTTTTAGCAACCTAGCAACAAAAACAATGCTTTAGAGCGCCGCCAGCGCAAAAAACAACGTTAGTGGACACAGGCCCTTAAATTTCTATTACGCCTATATTTTCTGGTTAGTTAGGCTAATTGAGAGTTAGCTAGGCTTTTCCTTATCTAGTTAAGGATGCTACTGATGTCAAGTTTTCCCATTTTTTCATGGCACATTAGGCAGTTAATAGAAATGGAACAAACTCAAGGGAGCCACTTTCCTCTGTGCAGGCTCAGGGTCGGGAGCTAAAAGCTATTTTAATGATCAACTAGAGTGCTCAAGGTTTTTAGTCGCACTAAGGTACCAGACAACCATTATCAATTCATCCCTTCCAGATTGATCAGCAATCAAAAAGACAATTCGTAGAAAAAAAAAGTCAAGATAAAACAACACATTGGATAATCCAGCTACTGTAAGACAACAGTTTACGTTAGCATCCAGCCACTTAGTAGGTAAATCTAGCTAGGTAATGGCTGTAAGCTAAAAATACTGTGTGATAGTTTTATGCGTTACACTTGGAAAGGACTCGCTAACTAGCAAATACTGATTTGTTTTGAAAAATGTACTAGTTTTTGTACCCTAGCAAATGCACTGTACGCTAACCAAATGTAACAAAGGACTAGCTCAATGGCTAGCAGTAGCTGTTGTCTAAAGGTAGATCATAATGGGTTATCAAATATGATGTCTTACTTTGAAATATGGCCATTTTCTCTATCCATGGTCCATTTTACTTTATTTTAAAAAAATCCATTCCTTACATTTTTGGTATTTAATCAAATTGATTAAAGAAGGATCAACTTCTACAGGCCTGCTGGTCTATATCTATCTATCATATAAGCTACGATCTAAAATGTTTCTTTAATACTGGCAAATGTATTTATATTTTTAGTAACAACCATTAAAAGACCTTAATCCAACCAACATGTATGGTAGAATGTGGAGCCATAATATTAACCAACGTAGAATTAAAGTTTTTCAAGGGGTTTGACATACAATTTATTGAAAGACTTTTGACCCCACAAAGTGAGACTGTACTTTATATCTGTACATATTTTAGCTACATGTATCTGCTACAGGTTCTCTAAATCTGACAGCCCTGATGTCTGCATGTAACAATGGCTGGTTAATAATTACTTTGACACATTTACGACAGTTTCTGCAGCTGAATTTAAAGATATTTAACCAGCCCTTGAGGATACAGTTACCAGCATTCATATCAAACCTGGCTATAAATCAGTGATTCAGTGGCTTTTTTGTATCTTGTCAGTTTTTTCCTGACATTTTTTCACACTTTAACACTTTAACTGTTCACCCTTTCAAAGTGCTATCTCACTAAAGAGCTTTTGGGGCATATCCCGAGGCAGTGAGGCTTCTTGCAATGAAGCTGTTGCCTGTGTAAATGTTTGGCAAATACAGCTTTTCTGGGAGTCTCAAAGTGAACATATGAAAAACAAACTTTAAAAGACAGTAAGTGCTGTGCATAGCCAGAAGAGTTGGAGTTCAGATGAACGAATTAAAAACAATTTCAATACAGCATTGTTTCTAAAACATATATAAGAAATGAATGAATTTTAACACAACATGCTCACAGGAAACTGGTAGGCACCACAGCTTCATAAAAACTCTAAACTCTTATTTCTTACACAGGTGGTTTTATCTCTACCTGGGACCATCAAGGCGTCTGTGGCGGTTTGGGCGAAGGGCACGAACCTTGACTCTCAAAGCTTGTTGCTCTTCCCGGCCACTGGAAAGTAAAATATCACAAAATGCAACAAATTATAGAGGCGTCCTTTGGCAAAAAACTAAGCAGGTTATTTCTGTAGACCTCAGGATGTACTGTGATCATAGGCTGAAAAACTTGATTGGCTCCACTTGGTCACAAAATCAACTAGTTTCATCGTAGAGTTTAGTTTGGACTTGGCGCCCAAACTTGAGTCACAACTTATACGTAGCTGGTGCAACAGGTCACAGAAGCAGAGAAAGGAGATCAAAGTTTTGATTATTTAATCATCTCAAGAAAACGTGCAACTTTCTCAAGATAAGTTCGTCAACTTTTTGTCACAAACACACAAAAAGTTTCTTTCTCTTATACTTGTGACTATTAGAAGTCACCACCCCCATAAAAGCATGCATGGATGGCATCTTGGAAACCTTATATCAGATTTAAGTAGAAGATATTTTCATTGATCAAAACATCAGACAGTACTGTGTAGCTTTGATAGTAAACCTGAAGGCTGGAACCAGTTTGATCAAATGAAAGCACTCATTTTACAGTACCATGTATGATCTTGAGAAAACTAAGTGTATGCCAAAAGATAAATCATCTCCTTTTCCTTTAAATCTCCCTTTTCATTTCTCAGGAAAATGACATAGCTTCATAGAACAAAGTATTGAACTTGTCATCTTAAGATGACAGTTTAAAGATCAAATTTCTCACTTTTGCAGTGGTAGTATTTTTTGTTGAGTATGAATCCCACACCCCTGTAGTCTGCTAAAAGGTTTGTTCCTTCTTGGAGCCATGTTGCTGTAGTCAGATTCAAGGCAGTTGGGATGGAGCCTTTAAAACAGTAGGGATAACAACTAAGATACGACAAGGACTGATCTTCATCTTCAAATGGCTTTTTTCACTTTGCAAACTCCACAAAGCGATCAAAAAATTGTCTGACACCTTTGCAATCCTACAGCAAGATCTTCTTTTCTGTTTGCTCTAAATTCAACACAGTTAAAAACACAGCTTCCATTTTTAACCTCACACTGTATTGTACTACACAACAATGTTTTAAGGAGCGCAACAGAGACAAGGTTTGTGCCTATGATCACAGTTGTTACCAAAGCATATGAAGTAGTTTTACCACTGAAAATGGTAATCACCTGTGATTTCCTATTCATCAGATGGAAGTAGGTGTGGCAAAAGAGGAAGAAACATTGATGAAATGTAAAATATGAAATTACAATTAAAGGGGGAGACAGTTAGCCTACCAGAAACTGTGGAACTGCCTAAACTGTTCGCATATAGTCCTTATTTTCTGAGTTCTTTTTGACTTTTGTTGCTGTCAGCTAAGCTGACATATTCCCTGTGGAGTCAACCTCTGATGGTGAAAAAGGCTCAATAAAGCGTTCTCTATATTATTCTATTATTTTATAGTAAACTGTGCATATTATTATGACATTATTGAAATAGCACCTTTGAATGCCCTGGGCTAGCTGTGTCCCCCTCAAAACACATTTGATTTTTCTGTATTGAGAGCACAAAGTTGAAGTTAATGTTGATGACTTATCTGAGTCCTTGAAAAACAACAGAATCATTTCCTAAAAAAATACCATATTTTCTGAACTTATGGCCAGAGTTATTGTAGGCACAAGCAAATTAAGGATTTACCTAAGTAAAAGCTCAGTGAAAAAATATTAGGGTGAACACATTTTTGGTGTCTGTAACAAAATAAGACATGACTGCAATGTATGCGTAAGCCATGCTGTATTTTGCAGTGGCATAAAATTGCCACAAGGTGGCAGTAGGTAAATCTGAAGTTTCTTGGAACCAAGTTAACTAATTTTGTAAACAGATTTCTGCAAATGTTTGGCATTTGTAGCAGATGTTCCACTGCAAGGACAATTGTATAACCTAATGGTTACTTAGTTGTTACTTACTGGTTACTTAGTGGTTACCTAATGGTTACTTAGTGGTTACTTACTGGTTACTTAGTGGTTAGTCAAAGGATACTTAGTGGTTACCTAATGGTTACTTACTGGTTACTTAGTGGTTACTTAGTGGTTAGTCAAAGGATACTTAGTGGTTACCTAATGGTTACTTACTGGTTACTTAATGGTTACTTAGTGATTACTTAGTGATTACCTAATGGTCACTTAGTGGTTACCTAATGGTTACTTACTGGTTACTTAGTGGTTACTTAATGGTTACCTAATGGTTACTTAGTGGTTACTTAGTGATTACTTAGTGATTACCTAATGGTCACTTAGTGGTTACTTAATGGTTACTTAGTGGTTACTTAGTGATTACTTAGTGGTTACCTAATGGTCACTTAGTGGTTACCTAATGGTCACTTAGTGGTTACCTAATGGTTACTTAGTGGTTACTTAATGGTTACCTAATGGTTACTTAGTGGTTACTTAGTGATTACTTAGTGATTACCTAATGGTCACTTAGTGGTTACTTAATGGTTACTTTGTGGTTACCTAATGGTTACCTAATGGTTACCTAATGGTTACTTAGTGGTTACCTAGTGGTTACTTGCTGATTACTTAATGTTTACGTCGTGGTTAGTCAGTGGTTACTTGGTGGTTACTTAGTGGTAGTTTGATTTGTGGTATTCTGTTTTTGTTAAACGCTATTCTTTCTGTTGATAGTAAAGAAAGAAAAAATGTAATCTTTAAAAGATGTGAAAATTGGCTTTTTGACCATTTCTGTGTTCAACACAAATTGCTGTAATCATGCCGTCTTTCAGACTGAAAGTAAAAAAGTAGTATTACCTCTCCTAGAGCGTGCCAGTGTGTGATGGGCTTCCGCGGATAAGCCAACATTTCATTCCAGTGATCCCGTCCAAGACCCTCGGCATCTGGCCCGGTGCGACACACGCCTATCACCTCATTGTGTCCAACCCTGTTAGTCATATAACACACACTTTTAGCAATATTAAGCCTAAAACGCAAAAATCATAACTGAGCAGAAAATGAATACATTTTTACTACAGGTAAGAAAGACCTTCATTCTAAAACTTAAAAGCAGTCTAATTTTTTTAGAGATGTGTTCGCTCTATCCTTAAATCATACAGAAGCTATATGTTAGCTCATACTCACCGATCATAATCCATCACCATGATGGACAGACTGACTTGTTCCACGTTCTCTGGGGGGATGTCAAAGATGATGGCCTCGTTGTATACTGGATTAAGTGTGCTTTTCTTGGTTGTCGTTTTCCGCTTTTTCAGTCTTCGTCCATCACATATCAGGTAAACCTTCACATAAGGATCTGGGAGACATATTTACTGTCATTTAACAATCCAAATATAGATTGAAATTATAGTAAAATGGGATGATATCAACAAAATTGAAAAACTCAAAATGTAAAGAGAATGTACTATTCTTTAAGTACACCCAAGACAGGCATTTCCCTTTTCTGACACGGGCTAATACTTTTTCTTCTCCCTATATCCATTTTAAGTGGCCACCTGCTGTCTCTTTTCAGTTCAGTTTGATTCATGGATCAGCTTGGGGTTTTTATGTGAGCCACATCTCATTTGCTGTCAGGTTACCTGAAGAGCCTGTGATGTCCATGGCTTTGAGGTTTCTGCATTTGATGACTGTTAGGGTCATTCTCCCTGCTGTGGGGAGGTAGCACAACGAGTACATGATCTCTCCCAGGTCAACACTCTCCTAGAGGACAAAATAAGAAGCAAAACATGTATTGTACATGGTAAATTATGTGACCATATAAAGAACTGGTAGGCAAAAGGTCTCAGTTAATTGCATAAAATTGCAGGCTATATTGCCAATTCAAGGCAGGATATTGCAACCCCTGTAATGTCTACTATTCAATGTAACTGTTACAGAGGTGTAATGGTGTGACCATGGTTATCTTCAAGATCTTATTGTTGTAAGTTTATAAAGTAATATCAAAAGTGATCACAAAAGTAGAGCACCAAACAAATCAAGAATAAGTCAGAATACTTTCTAAAAAACTGACAGCTGAGGGTAGGTAAGGAGAAGATTATGTTCTGGCAGTAAGACAAAACATTATATATTTTTCCACTTAAATCAGCAATGGGATTAACCACCTCTGCCCACAAACATTTGGAAAAGCTACAGATACCATAAAGCTATCTCTCTCACACACACACATAATTTAAGAGTGACACAGCCAATACCTTAAACTTAAGTACAAGTCCACAAAGTATCAGAAACTGCCCTCAGGTGTGCCAGCACAGGAAGTAAATTCCAGGCTAATCTGTGGCTTACAGTTAAGACTAGGTTGGTTTTATCTACATGCTATAATACACAAGTCTTAGGAATGGCTCAGATGAAAGTCTGCTGACTGATATAACTGCTTAAAAAAGCAAAACTGACTCTCTCAATTGACATGTCCTTTAAATGTTCTAACGCTAACCATCAGTATATCAATAGCAATAGTTACGGGGAAAAGTTGCAAGTGCTTAAAAATGTCCTGTATGGCAATTTGACAAAATCCATCTTAAACATCCTGATTGTGAATCTTCATTGATAGCCAATTGCTTGATATGTATGACACTCACTAATGAAGCCAATGCCTTTAAGTAAGACATTAAAAGTGTAGGGTTAGGGTTAAAGCACCAGATCTTTTATAGAAACAGTTCAATTGAGGATAAACTATCTTCAATATGCTGTAACTGAACACCTTGTTTGTGTTGATATTCAAATTTGAAAGAATACTGCTGCCAACTAAAGAAAAAAATAGCACAAAACTTGTGCCAGTGCTATATTTACCACTCAAGAATACCAAAGAGTTTCTGGAAAATATGTGTGGGTGTTTGGCTGATGAAATGCCTTTGAGTTATTTAATTAATTTCACCTGCCACTGTTACAGAACATTGTTGATACATTCAGACTCCTAGAAGGGATTTAGTGTTCATATCCACAGTGTGTTTTCCTGAATAAGGGTCTGGCCCATCAATGTAAGGGTTTGGCATTGGTAAGTTTGAAAGCCAACTCACCGTAGTTGCTGCATGAATATCCTTCCAAACCACTGCCTCCCTGGAAAGATCTGAGAGTTCAAAGAGGTTGTCCACCACCACCTCACCAATCATATCGTGGCTGGTGAAGCGGTCAAAGTCATAGACACTGAAGTGCAGCTTGCGGTTGCAAACCTCATCATACGCCACGGGGAAACAGAAAGCCTCATCAAACGTGGGGTTCAGATTCTTGCGATGGACTCGTGTCTGGAACTTCTTCTTTCTCTCTGGTAACAGGTAGATCTTCACGTACGGGTCGGAGGTGCCCGTGAAGTCTTTAGCAGGTAGGTCCAAGGCCTTAAGGATTCTTACTACCAATGATTGTTCCTCATAGTCGTACTGCAGTGAGAAGCTGAGCTTCCCACAAGTCTCTACAGGCTCTTTTTCCTCACCCTCTGAGTCCACAGATTTCTGCTTGTAGAGTTCTGGTTTTATTCTTCCAATGCTCACTGTTGAAGATTGCCGAAGAGGTACTGTGTCCATGCTGAAGTCAAAGCTGTTGACATTCATCTGACGAGGCAGGTGGCGCCGGAATGAATTGTGTCTGTTGAAAAGGGGAAAAGGCATTGAGTATACAGTATGTCTTCAGCGTTGGAGTTATTTGCATGATTGGCTTTCTTTTGATCTGTGCTAAAAAAAAAAAAAATCAGGAGAATGCAAGAGTTAATATTGGCACTCATGGAACTTGTTTTGACAAAGCTTGAAAAGTGGTCTTTGGTTGGGCTTAAGACTTACAGTAGGCATGTGAGAGGCATAAACACCCACTGATATTCATCTGATGTACTATAGCTAAGTGGTGATTTTAATTATGATGATGACAATTTTTATGATGCGTTTGTTGCTGATAAGAACACTCAAGAGCCGCTGTCAATGTTGTTGATGATGATAAATTAACTTTACTTTTTAAAAAAAAGAAGCTTTGCACCTGTCAGCACCCATGTCTGATCAGACTTAGTTGTTCGTTTGCACTTACTGATGTTATTTCCTCCTCTCTAGATCCTTGCATGTGTTGTATTTGCTCTCTGATGTACGTCGCTTTGGACAAAAGGGTCTGCTAAATGAATTGTAAAATAGGAGACAACACTTTTATAGAAAGACTCTTAGACTTGTAATGTCCTTTATGCATGTTTGTATTTAATACATGGACATGTTTCCATGACCATGCCAATGACTTGATATGCATATTTTGTCCTTTTCAGCCTGGTGATTGGGCTGATTGTGCCCAAAATCAAGACCCAAGGCCAAGTAAAGGTGGCACTCTTTACCCTCAATTCATCCTTCTTCTCCTTCTTGCTTAACAACCACCTGCTGTGCACCTGATAAACTGAAGCAAAGGCCTCCACAGTGTAGCTTCCACTTAGGGTCAATCCAAAATTGCACTTTCAAATCATTTCTCAAAGGCTTTTCTTTCAATGTCCTTCATGCAGTGTGGTAATAGCAGCAAATGTTCACAATGACCTTGCCAATCAGTCTAGTAAATGTGCTGAAGGTGTCTAAAACCAAGACGAAAAGATTGAAAGATGCAGACAACTCATATTGACATTCTGTTAGTACGTATTTTCATGGATTCATTCATCTTGATAATTTTGTGGACATGTCTTTAAATTGTGTCAACCATCTCACAGTAATTCTACTTTTGGGTCTGTGAAGCTGTAACCTTATGTGGGTGAAGCACCTAAGTAGTAGCAGATCTATAAATGGATAGGAGCCAACTATATGTTGTTAACAACTGTTTGCTAGACAGAGAGTCTACATCTGATACGTATACAAATCAGTGTCATGTCATCTTTATTGTTTTATAGTGATGTACCCAAATGGAAAGGAATTTGTGGGCTGTACCTTCTAGCAGAATATAAGCAACACTGTGTGATGAAGACTTTGCCATTTTGCCATTTTGCCATTTTGCCCATGATGGCCACTTTGCCAATGATTGTCAATGACTGTGAGATCTTGGTCAGCATGGGTCAGCGATGGTCTGCACTTTGTCAGCCATGTGTGTTGTGTTTCTGTGTTGTCTGACCATGGCTGAATAAATCTAAGATGATCCACAGACTGTTTCACGATTTCATAATTGTCCATCTCACACAGAAATAACCCCCACCTAACACATTCTTTACCGTCTATTCATCATACTTCTCTTTCTTCCTATATCCTTGATCTTAATTAGTTTCAGCAACCTTAATGAACACTAAGGTTTTTGTTTAACATTCTTCACCATTTATTCAGCATACTAGGATGAAGATCCCACAACGTCTATATCATAGACAAGCTAACATACTGGAGATCTCAACAAATTGCTCTATCTAGATCAGGGGTCTCCAACAGGTAGCTCGGGAGCTACTGGTAGCTCGCGGGCAGGTTTTCAGTAGCTCACCTATAGGTTGACCGACTGTGTCAAAAATAAAAATAAAAATCTAACGACGGTAAATGCACCTCTTACCACTATTCATATATTTGGCCCATAAAAACAAGTGTGAAGTACTAATGTTTACTTGGACATTCATGTGAATTTAACTCAGCTGATGTGTACTCTGTAAATAAACGCAAGCGATTTGATGCAAGTAGCCCTTAGCCACTTCCATTTTTTGAAAGTAGCTCTCAGATGAAGAAAGGTTGGAGACCCCTGATCTAGATGAACACAGGTGGTTTAACTCTGAAAGGATTCCCAGACAATACATGGGACAATAAAAGACACAAGTGGCCAAACAACCATTTTTTTCCTCCTTTATTTTTTTCACCAATTACTGTGTTGTTGTTTCTGTGGGAAAAATGAAAATCCATCTCCAGCATTCAGTTTTGAGCCCCATAACAAATTACCTGAATGCTGCAAATTTCTGTGAAGTTGACATCTTTCTAGAAAACCACTGCCAAGCCAATCCTGTCTCCTAGCAACTGGCCCTCCTCCTTCTTGACAGTAGGACAATCACAGCCATCTGACAGCCATGGCACAAATTATATGCCCACGGGAAGCCGGGCTGGAAATTAAATACCAGACTCATGTATCGTAAACAACATAAAAAGCTGCATGTTGTCTAAGAACCAGTACAATCTTAAGGGAGAAGGTAAAAATGCTTTATCTCCAACACAGCACATTGAACACGACCTGTCAACTGAATATGAGAAACTAATTACTTTGTATTAATGATTCTTCAAGCCTCCAATTCCCCTTTAAAGCATTACATACACTAAATCCACGCGGGATTACAACAAACGAACTACCAACACTGGAGATAAATCCCCCGATTTTATTGCTGTCTTTTTCAGCGTTTGAGAATGTCACCATGAATACAGGGGTAAAGGTAATTTAGTACAGAGATAAGTTCTTCTGTCTTCTCCTTACTCCTAAAATCTTGAAATTGAAAAAAACGAATAAATAAATTGTCAAAAAGGCTAAGTAGACATCTAAAATCATGCAAGAAGTTTTTCTTATCGCCTAAAAATTGTACAAGCTGAAACTGTCAGCAGATTAGATTACTGAAAAATGATTTTGATTATTAGTCAAACCATATTGTGTCTGATGCCACAACTGTGCTGGTTTCATCCTCTGACATGGGAACATTTTCAGTTTTAACTAGTCTTACATAGTGGTAAACCAAATACAGAGCATGGTTTTTGGACATTTTAATGCAAATATGACACAGCTTTTGTACATTTTAGACCCTGTTTGATACATTGATACTGCAAATAATCATTAGCTGCACCTAAACCACTTGCTTAATTAGCCTTGTGTTAATAGAGTCTGTTGGAAAATATTAGAAAGACCAACATTCCTTTGAACATTTCAATACTGCTGGTAAAGGTTAAAAAAAGACATTGCCTATATTTTTCTGACTTTATTAACCTTTTCTATTTTGTTAAGCAAGGGTGTGCTTGGCTTGCTCTTAATATCCCAAAAACAGAATTAATTTGCGTGTTTTTTTTTGTTTTGGTAGTTTTTTCATCCAGAGAGGGAATAATCATAAAATCATTTTTTATTTTAAAATCCTATCAAAGGAGTAGGCGTAATGGTTTAGACGGTAGGCATTGTAGTCTTTAACCTTGCCATTCTCTTGCCCTGGTAGGTGTGTTATTTATGAAGATATTTGTCTTCATAAGATTTAATTAATGGGCTTTTGACGACATTATACCAACGCAATTGTCAATAACATTTCCCTCTGAGAAAGTGAGCGCAGCTGCCTGGTGTGCCTCGCTAGAAAGTAACCACCCAACATGACAGCTCCAACCCAGCAGCACTGCTAATTATGGACGTTGTAGTTTAAACATAGTGCTCGAAAAACAAAGAGAAACAAGAGCTGGTTGGTTAATTACTAGGGTGGCATCCCCTTTGTAACCATAGCAGCTTGACTCGCGCGTACAGAAGATTATAGGGATCAAATTGAGGAGAGAAGATATACTGCTGCCCTTGCTGATGAGCCTTTGCGGAGGGGGGGTGGGGAGTGAGGTTGTTCTGTTCAGACAATGAAAGCAACACGCTGTTCAACATTTGTGACTGCATTTCAAGGTCAGCAGCCAGTCTGTGATGCTTTGCATGACACGTGCCAAACCACCTCAGGGACATTGGCAACTCTGTCACGATCTGCCAGTACCATTCTCATTGTAAGGGCGTCAGTATTGTGTGTGGGGATGAAACAAACCAAAGTGGCTTCAAAAAAGCTACCATTGTGCTGTAATTGTAAGTACAGGGATGTAGGAATAGCTTGTGATCAACTGTAATGCCCTTTCTAAAGGGAGGGGGTTCATGTGGGGTACCTGGAGGAGGACGTTGGCTCTGTGGTCTGCCTCTGGATCTTCGCCTGTTGGCTCAGCTTCTCCCTCAGGGCTGTTTGCACCTCCGCTGGGATGTCTGGAGACGTCTGGCTGATCTTCATGGCCGCCTCCAGGAGCTTTACAGAGCTCCGCCCATTCATCTTCACCTCCAGCGGGTACTTCCTCTCAGCCTCCAATGCTTTACACTCGTTAACCGGAGGGGAGTTTGGCTGTGGGACCTCGGGGAAACCCACGCGGAGGCCATTTTCAGCGTGGTTTGTCAGAGTCTTGCTCCTCCAGAGGGGCCAGCACAGCTTCCAAAAGACAAAGAGAGATACTACCAACAGGGCGAGGCCACAGAAACCCACGACCACAGCAAGCAGACTAATAGAGATGTCTACATGTAACCATGGAGGAGGAGGGACCCATAGAGGTGGACAGAGACAGAGAAAAAAGAAAAAGAAAAGGAGAAGCAAGCAAAGGGAAAAATGTGACGGACAAACATGCAAGGGAGAAAGAGAAAAGAGGAGAAAAGGCAGGCTGTAAGAAAGAAGGGGCAGCATACGCACCTGTTTGATAAAGCAGGACAGTATAAAGTCAAATTAAACCTCAGCATCAAGAGAATTACATGACTTAGGAGGAAAACATGCATTTAGTCTCCCTCCTGTTGATGCTTTTTGCTTTTCTAAGCGATTTTTTAAGTTGTTAGTTTGGACTGACTGTGCTTAATTTGAAAAAAAAAAAGCAAAGCAAGTATTGTTTAAAATGTGGAAATCAAACTAACACTGAATAGATTCCCCGGATTTCAAAGTGAAAAAAAGAAAGAGAGACAAGAGAGAGGCATAGTTCTAATTCTCACTTATATAGCCTCAGTCTGTTATCCACCTGTTGCTGCTTCATCCTGAGCTGCAGCAAGATGCGTAACAGGTAGAGAAACACTTTCACATCAGCCCAAACAAACACAATAAACGACGCTGATAAAGTTTGAAGATTTTTTTTTCTTGTTGCAATAATAAGCCTATTTATTGTTTTCAATTAAACAAACACAAGTGATTCATTTAGTTGCATTCAGGAAATGAAAAAAACAACAACTTTATTCTATTTACCTGCGTGTCCTTTACCTGGTATGGTGCTCTCCAGTGGAAATATATCCGCACATTTCTCCCTGTCTACGTGTCCCGTGAGACAAAGTTCCGAAATGATATGGAGAGCCCTTTGGCACAAGGTGATGCTGTCATCCGTCCGGACACTCATGTCTCTCCTGTTAAGCCATTGCACGCCGGAAGAGCCAGGCGGTCGGTGGTTCATTTGTGCAGCTGTTTTATGAGCCGCAGAGTGCAGCCTTTCCGCGGGAGACAGCAGGGAAGCGCGCTGCGTCCTGATCCATATCCAGCGCACAACGAGGGGACGACTGGCCAGACGCGCACGCTGCGGTTGAATAACAGGCTGCAGGCTGCTGGAGTCCAACCCTCGATACGTCCAATGGCAATGCGCATCAGGTTGAAAGGGTGAACTGTCGGTCGGTGTGCAGTAACGGGATTACTTTTTCTAGTAACGATCAGAGAGTTATCCGTGTATGTCCCCGCCTCTCGCTCCACACATGCTGCTTTATTGACTCCAGTCCTCCCAACCCTCAACAGGTCTTTTCTCCCCTGAGACCCTGAAGAGTATGCAAGGTGAAATATATTATACTCGCACCATCTATTATCTTGTATATCTGAAAATTAAAAAACGCATCATGAACTATGTTTTCTTTACCATAATCACAAAAACTGATTTACACTCTCTGTCCATATATTTGTTTGTATGTTTTCTTCCAAGTCTTCATCCAGCTCCTTCTCAGATAAATGGTAGACCATGTATTTTTTTTTTAACATGTATTTTTGGGCATTTATTGGAGAGATAGGACAGTGGATAGAGTTGGAAATCAGGGAGAAAGAGAGCAGGGAATGACATGCGGGAAAGGAGCCACAGGTGGGATTCAAACCTGGGCCGCCCGCGTGCTCATGATGGATAGGCCGGGTCTTTGTAATATAGCAATGAGTAAGGTATTTTTTACCTGCTTTTTGTAAAGTGTCTTGAGATAACACTTGTTATGAGTTGACGCTATACAACATAAATTGAATTGAATTGAATTGGAGGAGCAAAGCCTCCATACATGGGGCGCGCGCACTAACCACTGCTCCACCAGAACATGTATTCTTTTTATAATTTCCTTTTTAAACTGTTGATTCAAATGTTCTCTCATTCGTTGTAGTTCAACACTCACCATCACTTGCCCTGTAAATAAAATGTATGCTGATAAACCTCCAACAGATTGTCTACAACTCAGACATTATGTGTAATAATCAAATAGATCTAATAATAAATAATAATATAATAAATCTTATCAAATAGAATCAAAAGGTCGATGTGGTGTAACTTAAAGTCAGATGCCACAGAAACATTCTGTGACATATTCTGCAGTCTGTGCATGGAAAACATGTTTTTTGTTTGCAGACAGCGTGTTGTCTACTCCATGGGCGGTTCTAGGCAGGGGCCAACAGGGGCAAGTGCCCCTGTAACACTGAGCTTGGTCCCCCAGTGGCCACCCCTCCAAAATGAAGAGCCCCCCCCCCCCCCAATAACACATACACAGTATTTGACTCAACAACCAGACTCACAATTTAGTATTAAATACTGTTAGTGAAACAAATATAAATCATGGTATTTTTTGTTCTGGTATTTAATGATGTTTGGCATAATATATATTTTTTAAAGCGATCATCTTTGTCTATTTTCCCCTGGGTTTAATGTTCCCCTCTGACAAAACAACTGGCCCCAGTTTGGCCCCCCTCAGTAAAAGTGGTCTAGAACCGCCACTGGTCTACTCTCTGACTTGTCTAACGGTTATTTTTCAAAAATCTGACATCACACAACCTAAGAGACTTGTATGAACAATGCTTGACTAACCACTGTCTCTCTTCTGATGTTGATATCAGTTTAAACTTTAAAAGTACTCGCAGGGTTTTTTTTTAGGGAAATAAATGTAAAAGTTGTTTTTGTCCACTGAGGAACATTATCATCAAGACACCAAAAGAGAGTCATTCTTTCAAGTAATACTTTAATGTCCATGTGTTGAAACAAAGACTCATTTGTCACTGCATCCTCAACCACAGAACATATGAATTTAGAAATATTTATATATATAAGCCAAGGCTTTTAAACACATTACATAAAACAGCGGGGAGTCAGTCAAAATGTTGAAGTGTCTCTCATCCCTGTCACGACATTGTTGCTTCCACTGCAGGAGCACTTCTGTTTTCAGCCTGTTTTGCACTGGCTACTTTTATTATTTACCTTACACTCTGTGCCAGTGGGGGGCACACAATCGTAGCCAAGGGAAACTGAAAATTGTGGTTACCAAAGAGAGTACAACAATAGCTGCCATGAAAGAGAGGCAAACACAGCTGAGGATGATTTAGAATTTAAAAAAAAGGAAAAGGAAATAAAGGAAATGAACCTAAAAAAGGACCCCGACAAAAAACATATTTTAATCATAACATCCATGCAATGATCATGTCCTATAATGTTTATAGTAGTGGTATCTCTACCACTGTGGATAATACTCACAATGTCAGAAAATTAAAATGCTGATAGACTTCGGAGATACAGTGTCATACTAATTTCTCACTTTAGAAACTGATGGGAATCTTCACATTTGCATTATTGTATCACCCTGGATGGATATGAGTATAGTCACGTATTTGCATTGACACGTACTTGAGCTGGTAAAGATGGAAGATTGGTGTTAGAGCTTTGCTCTCGAATAATATCAGAAGGAAGTCACACATTGGCAGTCACACATTGGCAGTCACACATTGGCAGTTTTCTTAAAATAATGGATTCAAGATGATAAATTGATTTTTAAATTTGTAGGATTTGGTTTGGGTTATCTCCAAAATCAGTGCTACAGGCTCATGAAATGGCAATAGACCATTGTTTCTGTTGCAATTGAGGATACCAGATGGTTCAAACAACACATCTTTCCAAGTACACAGTCAAAGTCATTGTCAATGTCCACTCTCCCTTTATTTACAGATTTTCATCCTCTGTTAAAAAAATATTCCCAGTCCCCAATAAGAGCGACGTGTCAAAAGATTTTAAACATAAAGCCCCATTCTGTCTTCATTTATGAAGACAAAACCAGAAGCTGTTTGGAAGACCTCCAGAATTGGGAATTAAGCAACAGAAGGGCAGAATAATTAACTGCTGGAATGAGCAGGAGTTGGCTAAGTATCCTCAATTCAATATCATGAAATTGATATGAGGCCCATATGCCCACAGCCTGCAGTTTGGCTGCTGTATGGAATATAATGCAATTACTTAACTGCACAAATGTTGTCTAGGACACAGAGGGACGATTAAACCGTCTGAAGGGAGGCTTCCTGTTGCATTTTGCAGTCATGGATAACTTCAGTGTCCATACCAACCTTTTGTCAACCATCTTTATATTTTACCCAATTTAACATATTCACACTGAGGCCATGTTCCCCCTGACATTATGTCCAGGATAAGAAGCAATGAATGCTGGTTTAATGATGCATCACTCAGTATGCCTGCAGGTTGAAAAAAAGGCTGATTTATTGTATTACTCCAACTTAAAGTGGACTTTTGAAATTTATGAAGAACTGGTAGTCCGACAGAAATCACACTAAGTCGAATTTCCGGGAGACGGACAAACACACCTAGATAATGGGAATGAGGTTCGATTTACTCGCCTCAGTATGGATCCAAACTGGAGCAGGCGTTCTGTGCATGTTTCATATAGTTTCTGTTTTGACCTGGAAGTTGAAAAGCATGAATGCGTAGCAGAAGTCGCGTTGTCGTCTGCCCCTCGATATCACCATAAGCTAGAGGCTTAGTGTGCCATGGCGTTAAGAGTATGTACGAAAAGATGTCCATGCTTCCAATGTGACATACAACCAGTTTTCCGCTTGTTAACCTTTGGCTAGTTAACATCATTAGGTATTTACACTGTTCCCAACCAATCCTGTAACTCAATCAAATGGTGATGACAATTAAATAACATTCCTATGTGGTTAAGCTAATGGGAAGACAAGAGTTTGTTTAACCTTGAAATATTCAGATATTACCTTTTATTAGATGACAACATTGGCTATACACCTCCCTGTCTAATCTTGTGACGTTATCAAATGGTGGTGTTAACTTGGAAGCACTTGAGTGCTACCATTAACAGTTGTCAAACAGAAGCTAATGGCTAAATAAAACGTTGGTTAACTGTGAAATATAGCCCCATGCCCCACAGATATTTCAATAGCCATTGTTTTTTTAGTTGTTCCTAGACGTGGTG